AACCTAGTATTTGTTTCCTTTACATCTTCCCCACCTTTCATAGCTCCCACTTACCCTTTCTGTATTTGTTGACTACAAGAGTAGAAGGCTACAGCAGCAACACTTCGAGATGCCATAGCCATGCAATCCTACATTTTCCACTATCTGAAAATTAAGTCAAATAAATGACACAAAGACACAGCATTTTTCTACATAATTGCCTCTCGCTTCTTTATGAAAGCAGACTGGTGTGAGATGTGATACAGTATTAAAACACTATAAATCAGGTCCTTTATTTTGGCTGGAACAAAGCATTCTCAAAAATTTCAGCTGCACCTTGCCCAGCCCGTAGCACAGTCTGTATGATGGCCAGTCATCAACAAGATTACCAAGCCTGCGCTCTCTCTCACTCTAGTATGTTTTACCTAGCAGCAATAAATATTATGATTTAGTATCTCCTGACCTAGGGACTTCATGACAAAGTACTAAATCTCATCTTACTCACAGCTCGCATAAGATTTTAATAAACACATTCCTAAATATTTTGTAATTGGCACTATGCATGATTCTGTTAAGCTTTCAGTGTTATGCTTGCACGCCTAGGGGTCTGAATGAAAACTTGAGAAATTACCTTCATTTTTACAATAAATCATTAGCAGGCACACACACACACTTATATGCACACATTCTCTTTCTCATACGTGGTAACACCAAATCAAAATACCATATATCGTCAGTATCTTCAGCCAAGCTGTTTTACATACGTTGGTTTTTTTCTCTTTCCAAAGAACAGTAGTACTAAATGTCACAGGAGCAAAACCAACTCCCACACAACTTGAGATAAGCACTGCAGCTTTCTGAATTTCTTGGGAGGGTTGGGGAAAACAGCTCAACAAGGTTTGTACTCTGACAACTGCATGAAGGAGGGGAAAAAAAACCATCCCCCCAAGGAAAACTATCAGCTGATGTTTTCTTTAACATTGGAAATCCTACCTCTGTGTAAATTATGCATTTATCACAGTGTTATACCATGAGGAATTGCTCTTCTGAGTTTTTTATTACACGAATAGAAAATAAGGGCAGAATAACAAACTTGGTAAACACTGACATATGTTTATCTACAACAGAAATTCTGTTTCTTTTTTTTAACTAAATAAGAATGCAATAATCGTTAAGATTAATGTACATGCCAGTCTAGTGTTCACCATTATTTCAAGTTTCACATTTCTCTCACCAAAGTAAGCACATTCCTTTCTTCTCTTAGTTTTCAGTATGCCAATAAGGCAAATAAACTCCTGGTGCTACTTTACCAGCTTTAATAATTTGATGCATTGTGATTTTTTGGGGGATTAATTTCTATGCTAAGACTTTAATAATACCAATTCTAAAGAGAATAGAAGTATTTTCTTAAACTCCACAAACATATGAATCATTAAACAAACATCTTTGAATAAGGCACAACCCAGCAGGGCTGCTACACATACACACTTCCTTCAATATTAACATTTTAATAGGTGATGACTGATCATAACTTAGGAATTCAAATGTACAGACAAAGGCTGCACAGCAGTGAGCAGCCTCCCCTGCATGTAAAAAGTGAATGTAGTTTATCCAAGCAAAATTTTCTCTTGATACTCTCTTGGGACATGAAGCAGAGAAAATTTTTAATCACTCAGTGGTGGTATCTACTCCAGGAAATATGACAAACCAAAACTAACCAGAATGCCTCATATGCCAAACTTAAAGGCAAAAGAGGTAAAAGAAATAGAGGGGGAATAAAAGAAGTTTTTCAGGAGCAGAAAGCTTTTTCAAAAAAAAAAAAAAAAAAAAAGGAAACAAAAACCAACCCAAGCAACAAAAAACTATGAAAAAACCACCCTACGTGATACACATATGCCTACAAAATTGAAAGAGCTTTAGGACAGACATCCTAATGCCTCCTTTCTAAGTTTCCTTTATTAGGGTGGAGGG